AAAATAGATGAGGCCCAGTACATAGAAAGGACTGACTCAATATTAGCTATTAATGTTGTTATTATCAATATGAATATTTAGCTTTAAGTATAATTTACACCTGATTTTAAATATGTGTATATGTTTTATTTGGTCAAATTATTTTGAATAAAAATAAAGCCACAGCAAGATACCACAGAGACATGCTATGTACTCAAATAAGCTTGGGGAATAAAAGGTCAATGGAAGTTTTTTGTGGTTTTTTTTTTTTTTTTTAAATTTTCACCCACACTTTTGGGGTTTCCCCCTGTCATGTAATGTAGCAAAGCTGAGTGAACAGTTGTCTCATCTGCTGTCTAAACCCTTGCCATTCCAAGTGTGGTCTATGGAGCAGAGAGTTGGTTAGAAACATGGATGCTTAGGCCCCAACCCAGACCTACTGCAAAAAAAAAGCAACATTATTAATAAGATCTGCTGCTGATTCATATGCACATTAAAGTTTGAAAAACTCCAGTCTAAAGAAAGCAGCCTTTTCACTAGATGGTTGATGATTTTCTGCTGAAGTCTACAGGCTGTTATGTCTTTCCTGAACACTGGTCGAGAGACATTGTCATAAAGGTGTCTGTCTGCCTGGGCAGCGGGCCATCTCTTATCTCCAGTGAAGTTTCTCAGATGCAAAGAAAGATGTCTCTGAAGCTTAAATCAGGATCCCATTACAGCAGTGCTAGAAGCAGTTGGAAGCATTGCTGAGCTTTGCTCTGTTCTTGTGTCTATTTCAAATCTTATTAGGCCAGGAAGTAGTGCCTGGCAAATGGTTTATTCTGCCTTGGCTATTCATGCTTCACAATTCATTTTTATTGTGCTAATTAAGCCTCAAGTGATATTTCAAGTACAGATTGTTTTTTCCACTATTAAGCCTTTGGCCAGCATATTAATGTAGAATTAACGTGAGTCAGATGCTTACTCATTTGTGGAAGACTTTACATTTAAAAGATGTAGACTTGGCCAATTTTGCACAGATTCCTTTGGAAATTGCTATGACAAGGTGATACAGTTTCTCTGTAAATAAAAGGGACTCACTCTTCCCTCACAAATAGAAATGTAATTATCTTTTAAATGAACCAAATCCCTAGATCATGGGTATGTATTGGTGTTTATGGTCTGTGCTAAAATGGATATATGCGCTTTGAGGAGGTAGTATAGTGTAATTGTGAAGACCCTGAGTATGGGGTTCAGTTCCCAGGATAAAGGTTTGGGCAACTTTAGAAGATAGATTTGACTTTCCCAAAATTCATAGACTTCATTAATTAAGTGAGGCCAAAATACTTAACTTTAAGGTTGGTTATAAGGATTAAATAAAACAAAAACTTCAAGTATTAAAGAAGAATATCTTGTCTAGTGAATGCCCAATAAATCCTATTATTGTTACTGTGATTAAATAAACATTTTTAGAATTGTTAGTTATATAAGCTTAGGCCTAAAGAAAATTCTATTAGATATTATAGGGGAAATTAAGATTATGGCATTGGATTCTCTGCTAAGAGCCTCTTTGTTTTCACCCTTTTCTGCTGAGAATTTCTAAATTAAGAGATACATTTATAAAAGGTAGGAAATTTACCCCGTAGGTTTGTACTTGAGGTACCAAGAGGGGCGTCTCCAAGCTCCATTCGTTGTTCCTGGCTGTGAAGGCCTCAGCTCATCCCTTCAGAATAAGCACCATGGCAGGCCCTCACGCCACAGTCCTGCAGCATCAGCAGATAAATCTATAAGTACAAAGAAGATGACAGAGGAGTCAACAAATTATACAAATTAATTGCAAACTGGAGAATGGATGGATGAGTAGTAACTAGCTTAAAGGCTGAGAATGCTGGTTACCAAGTTGGCAGTGGAGAAAGGCAAGGGGATCTTTGGTTTATGTTGCAGAACTACTTACTACAAGGCTCACCAAGTGACTGTACAGGTAAAGCGAAACACAGGACATTGGTTGAAAGTCTTAAGAAGAAGCTAATCCCATTTTTGTTCCACACATCCCAGGTGACGGCACCCCTCCCTCCTCAGCAGGGTTATCTTCTAGAGAGCGTAAAACAAAGGTCTTGAGGATCTCCAGATAGAGTTGAGGCTGCGAGAACCATAAGAAAATAATGGATTTACATACTGAATATTGGTATTTCCAGCATTCTGCTCCCAAGCGGAGCACTGAAAGAACATTATATGAATGATTTGACCAGTCCTTTCCCCAAAATGATTTAATAATACTGACATCAGGGAGTACTCAGTAAGGAGGCTAATAATATTTTCCGCCAATGAAGCCAACAGTGAATAAATATGCAATGCTTGTGATACTTCATTCTTATGGATGTGTAAATGGCCAAAGACCACCAACTGTTTGAGAAAAATCTTATAATATAAAAGACAAACACAAAACAATCAAACAGAGAAAGAAAAAAAAAGCTACAAGAAACAAGGTTGATATGGAGATAAGAAATTTAATAAGAAATTATCATTAATATCCCATAGAAATCAGAAGGGACATTGCACCTGTAAAAACAGACCATTCAGGGTCAAAAGATGAGCCTTGGAAACTAAATGTGTGACAGAGTAATGAAAACCTTAAAAGCAGGTTTGACAAATAAATCTGAGGAAGTCTCCCTATAAGTAGAACAAATAGACACAACAATGGAACATAGGAAATAAAGGATGAAAAAATTCAATGGGGTATCTAGAAGGTTCAACATCAAAATAATAGGAGATTTAAAAGGTGAGAAAACATTGCACCATAGTTGAGTTGGCATGATTTTTTTCTTTCTTAGTGGTAAATGTCACAGTGTTGTAGCCTATAATTAGTGCTTTCTTGAATTTGATAAAACATAATTATTACATATGATAATTCAGCTGTTTGTAAGGTTTATATTTTTATAATAAACTTTACATCCAGACAACCTAACTTCACAGCATATGTAAGAGTATGAAGACTGAAAATGAAGACTGAGAATGTATACTATGCGGGGAGAGCTGGCCTTCTGTGTGAAAGTGAGCCTTATCTTCCGCAGTGAGAAGTCAGTAGATAATGTTAACACAGAAAAAAATCAAGAAGTAGCAATGTAAGCATGATGTTTAGTGATGTAGGGATCAATGTCCAGAAAAGAACTAAGAGATGAAATGAGTGAGTGCCTCTGGGCGAAAATAGTGCCACATGGATGAAGTGAGACTACTGTTATCACAAAGTAGATTCAATATTTCAAAAAAGTCTTATAGAATTACAGTCTCTTCAAATTCTGTGACTATATATTTTGAGATTATATATATATATATATATATATAGTTTTTAAAAAGTGACCTAGATTATACCACTGAGTTTAAGAATTTTCACTAAGTAAGCCCTTATATCTTGCCTTGACAACGTCTTAATAAATTGGAAAGCTTAATTGTCATGCAAGTTGTCACCAAATATTGGAACTAGAAGAACCCAGAGCTAGATATTCTAAATGAACAGCTTAATTTTATAGAAATTAAAAGAAAACATGGGGACAGAGGAAATGACTCACTGAAGACTACATGGTGTGAGTCAAATTTAGGGTCTCGGGCTCCTTCCTGACTCCTGATCTAGTAGTCCTCATTCCTGCTAACTGCACTGTCTCTTGATCACTCATATTTGCTTCATTGTCCTGTATAACTCAGAGTGTTAGGGGCCTTTTTGAAATGCCATGAAAGACATAATATTGCTCTCTGTTGGGAAGTCCTCTGACAATGGTGGGAATACCATGAGACATGCTGTGTAAATCTTGTTTCATTCTGGTTTTAGTAATAAAGAATAATGGCTTTGTCATGAAGGAGAGCATCATAAAGAAAGGGTCTATACATAGTATTGTGAAGCTGATGGGTCACAGAATGCTAGGTGGGTGGGTTAATTGCAATTTAATGGCTGTTGAAGATGAATTGCCTTTTCTGATCTCCAGGTTACTCCCCAGTTAATCATGTGTCATAGTTCCATGGGACACAGCTGCTGGGGTGAATGTAGTGCCAAGCAGAGCTTCTGATACCAAGCAAGGGACTAACTAGCTTGACTGGCAGGACCTGACATATCGTCACACTCTCTGAGACCTATCTTCATGTGAAAAATACTATGATTCCTATATGGTTAAAAGCAGTGTAAACACCCAGTAGATGTGATAGTTTAGTGAAGTGATAGCAACATCAAAAGGAAAACTGGTTTTTGAAATATAAAAGTATTAAATTGATGCTCTTGAAAGACTGAAAAATGTTTATAAGTTTAATAACATTTCAGTATTAAATGTTTAATACTGAAAATTTTATTGGATAATAAATACTTTCTCAGGATTTTTCCACAAAAGAACTTTTCATTGGAAAAGGATCCATCTAACTTTTTTCATCATATCATAAACAAGATGATCAATTTTACCCATAATATTTAACTTTGACTTATATAGCTTGGAAATATAATGCTGTCATGGTTCAAGCTTCATGTCTTTGAAAAATGCTTTGATGCTACACTTTCTTTCCATAGTCTGACTCTCTCAAAAACCAGATCGGGTAGTGAGTTAGGTTTGTGAGTTACTTAATGCAAAAAAAAAACATGGATTCATGCAAAAAAGGTAGATGCATCGCACTGTTTTGTTCATGACTATTAAAAAAAAGTGAAAGGAAGGAGGTGGGGAGCTAAGATGGTCCACAGACATGATACCTGTTTTGGTAACTGTCGAACAGAAAAAGGAGTAGATGACATAGTTCTACAAACTAGTGTCTTAAAATAAAAAGTTATTCTGCAATAGTATTTTCAAGATATGTGTACAATTTGTTTAATAATCTTATTATTGCACATTTTTGGCTCACATTAAATCTGTAAAGCTTGTCAACCTGGCACTTTTTTCAGATCAACATAAACCAGTCTCAGAAAGTAGATAATCATTAATTTTAAAGCATAAAGAGTTTTCAACTTTTTGCTATAATTTTGATAATGCACTTATTTGTGTGTGTCTCCATTTACTTTTCATGTTGCACAGGTTTGCCTTCAGCAAATTTGGCTGCACCTAACCTCACTGTGGAGGAAGGAAAGTCTATCACGTTATCTTGTACTGTTGCGGGCGATCCAGTTCCGAATTTGTACTGGGATGTCGGTAATCTGGTTTCCAAACATATGGTAAGGCTTGTCTTTGGCTCTGCGTTCATAGACAGATGAGAGAGTGTCTCAGAACTTGAGGTTGTATTAACCTAGTGATAACCATTTAATATTTTATAGAGCCACATACAAGGAATTTTTGGTGTATCTTTATGTTTATTCTTAATTAACAAAGACTATTGCAGGTTTGCATTTTAGTTACATAAACCCAGTAATCTGGAGAGACTCTATGTCTCTAGTGAGCTTTTAGTATCATCGTGAGCAAGGTGAGTGAATCTCCTTTTCCCTTGGAGGAAGGTAGGTAGGCGTTCAAGGATTAAATTAATTTCACATATTAAACAATTGAAATCTAGAGAAATAGAACAACTTCTGATTTACTCCTTTGCCTGTGCTTGATTAGGCTGGAAGCCTTTTCTAATGTTACTAATTATTTTCTCTAGTCAGGGGAAGAAACCCCAAATCTTGTCACTTTGGGATCACTCCTAACAAAGATTATCTTTGTCTGTTAATTCATTTGTAGAATGAAACAAGCCACACACAGGGCTCCTTAAGGATAACTAACATTTCATCTGATGACAGTGGAAAGCAAATCTCTTGTGTGGCAGAAAATCTTGTAGGAGAAGATCAAGATTCTGTGAACCTCACTGTGCATTGTACGTAATCAGACCAGCATGTGTTTTTAATAGCAAATGATCATGGACACACCTACATTTGTTGTTGGGGCACTCTGGGTGCTGCTTAAGTGTGTTAAAAAAAAAAAGTGTATGCAGTGTTCTGTGCATACTTAATTAAGAAATGTTATCAGCCTCTTCCACTTGTTCTATTTCTGCTAATCTCTCTTTCTCATGCGTTGTCTTTCACTTAAGCTTCTTTTTCAATCTTAAGCTTGTCCTCTGTGCCTTCCCCTGTCTTTATTTGATAGAACATATTTGAGCTGGTTATCCTTCTCTTCCTCATAAGTTTTAGTTTAAATTCTGATAAACCAGTTTCTAATTTTTTTTTTCTGTATAAAAGCAATATTAACTTTTAAAGTTTTGATACCTAAAGAATGGGGCTGGCTGTTCATAAACACCTACTTTTGCTGTTGATACAATAAAACCTCATTAGTTTGACATCAAGTTTCCATGGAAAGGTTGGAGGAGTCCTACTTAAATTATTGAAAATTATTATCAACTGCAAACATCTTTTATTATTATAACTGCTTTAAATTTCTGTATACATTGAAACTAAAATAGAGGATATTAATGCTTCTTAGGCATATGTGCATTATTTTTCAGTATTATAAATAACATGACACATATCTTAACATTCCAGGTTGTAATGGAACTCCAGGTTGTAGTGTTCAGTGTGAATTCAGTAAAAATCACATATACTGTTCACATCATTGCAAATCCTGTGTTGGCATGGTATAAATTAATGAGGTTTTACTCTGTTTGAATTAGGATTTGGATGAGAAAAACACGAGTGTGCCTGTGTGTATGCACGAATACACACTGCACACATGTAGACCCTGGTTAACACTCAGTTGTAGCAGGCCTTCATTATGTGATTGTTGGAGTGAATGACTGGTATCACCAACCACGATCTTTTGTCAATGGCAGTACTACCACTATGCCCAGTAGGTACTGGACTCATAATTTCTCATCATTTTGACCTTCCTGGAAGCCTGAAGTTAGTGTTATTCCTAAACATATGCAACCAGCTTCCGACTTTATGTCCTTAAATCAACACCTCACCAAAATCTATTTGAGTACGGTGGAATGAATAAGTGTGTCCTGGGCACTGGGGCCTGGGCTGGTGGGAGGAAGGTAAGTGCGGTTCCTGCCCCACGGTGGTCCTTGTTTTTGTAACACAGACTTACAAATAAAGACATGCAAATTCAAAATTTTCTCAGTTTATGTTGATATTTATGTGGGAGCCATGGTCTGAAGAATTAACCTTTCCTATCAAAGCTTAGATAAGGAGTAGAAGGAATAAGTGATAGAGGGTATTAACAACAGAGACAGCCTTTGCAGTGGCCCCACCCAGAGCGGACTAGTTATCAGGCTATGAGAGGAGCATCACACAACCAGGAAGCAGTGCATGCGGGGTAGGGCTTCTGGATTAGACATCAGGAGACCTGGATTCTTATTTCAGATCTGCCGCCCTCAGTGATCTTGACCAAGTTACTTAACCTCACTGGATTTAAGCTTCTTTATCTGAAAAATGATGCCATTAGGTCTCAAAGGTGTGTTCTAGTCCTTGGTTGTATAATTATCAAAGTCAGACCACATTAAAATAAACAAATATAAGGAGTTTTTAATATCTGCACTTAGGATAATGACTCTGTTTCAAGATGCTATTGATAACATTTGTTTTCCAAAGCATAAAATGCTTTATATTTAATGTTCAAATAATCTGTCCAGGTTTAGATAGGATTTCAAGCATTAAAAGGATCAAAACATTGACATCTGAAATCCTAGCCAAAAAACCCACTGTATTATAATGAAATGTGATGCTTTTAAAGAGCATTTACTATTGATAATCAGTGAAATCAATTAGCATCGGTAGGCACATTTACTGCATTGATCAGTTTGAACTGTTTTGCATAATTTATGTGAGACTTGGGCTGCAGGCAAGATTTCCAAAGATCTTAGTCATTATTTGTATTATTTAGTGAAGTACTCTAAAAATAGTGGCCCTCAATGTTTTGATGATCAATCTATATAATATCAAGGCATATAAACCAAAGTCAACTTCAATTGAACCCTTTCCTCTGTCAGAATTCTCTGGGATCTGTTTGGAGCTGGTTCCCACACTGATTAGATGTGAAAAATAACTGTGATGCACAGGTCTTTGGCAGAGCAAGGAAGGAAATCTCTCTGAAGCCCTCTGTAGGGAATTATATCAGCCTTGATGATGATACAAAATATTGATGGATTCCAGGGTTGCAGGTCATGTGTGTTTTCTTAAACCAAACAATGGTTGAATAAAACCCCCTATTGATGACAGAAATCTGGAGATGGGGAAATGTTTTGAGCTTTCTGATGCTATTAACTCTCTCTTTTTCAATTTAGTTGCTCCAACTATCACATTTCTCGAATCTCCAACCTCAGACCACCACTGGTGCATTCCATTCACTGTGAAAGGCAACCCCAAACCAGCGCTTCAGTGGTTCTATAACGGGGCAATACTGAATGAGTCCAAATACATCTGTACTAAAATCCATGTTACAAATCACACGGAGTACCATGGCTGCCTCCAGCTGGATAATCCCACTCACATGAACAATGGGGACTACAAGCTAGTAGCCAAGAACGAGTATGGGAAAGATGAGAAGCAGATTTCTGCTCACTTCATGGGCTGGCCTGGAATTGATGGTGGTGAGTACCTGATGCTTTTGCATCTGGAGAGAGGATAGGGTCTACCACTCAAATATGGACAAAATCATAAGTACAACAACCCCCCCCACCCCACCAAAACCCAGTGGCTTACAACATCATTATTTAATCTCATCGTTTTGACCTACCTGGTCTTGCTAATGGGTCTGTAGGTCAGCAGGAACAGTTTTGTCCCATGTATTCTTATTCAGAATGTAGGGCGAAGAAGCAGCAGCAGCAGCTACAGAGGAAGTCTGCTCTCTATGGCGAGTATAGAGTACAAGAACACAGCTAGAAATATACAAGCCATCTTAAAGACCTAGGTTCGGGAATACATGTGGTCTCTTCATTCTATATGCCCTTGGTCAAAGCAAGTCACAGGGCCAACACCAAATCCAGGGGCAGGGACTTAGTTCTCCCAAGGAGGAGATGAGAGGGATGAATACTTCTGAGCAATGATCTGATGACGTCCACATATTATTTTTATCCCAAGTGTTTAATGAGATTTTCTAGCCAATGGCAAGGCCCAGGCAAAACTGTGAGCAGGAAAACCATGTGTGGTTGGCTCCTGAACTATTTAAGATCTATTTTTTAGCCCCTTATCCATTTGGAACTCAAAATCCTACTTAGCTCATCCTTGGATGAGAAAGCAGTTCCCTGGCATGTTTTTCTTACCTGGACTGACTGAATGAAGGCATCCTTTTTATCAGATCCCGAATTGTTTTCTAGGTAATAGTTTCCATCTGACCAATGGGGTGGGAAAAAGAAGGTTCTGGCATCAAAAATCTGTTCTGTGGCCAGCAGCAAGATTTTAGTGTGAGTCCAAGTAACAGCAGGCATAGCTGTCATGCATTTACCTGCTTCAAGTCCTCTTGTTCAATGGAGTATTCTTACTTGCTTGGTCTTGTTGCCCCAAGACCTGTTGTACTGTGAAGGCCGAGGCTTGTGTTTGGATATCGGGACCTGTACGTGAATTGAATTTCTCATTATAATTCTGAGTTAACCAAAGCCACACAAAGATGGCTTGGCAGAGAGAGGGAGAGTAGTCTTGGAGGCCTGTGAGGCAAGGGCTGCTTAGGAAGCATGAACTCCTGTGTCTCACAGGGCCGCTCCGTGGACAAAGGTGATGTAGGCAATTCTTACTACGTAACGTGTTCCCGTTATCCTGGTACTTATTAAACAGCTATGCAAATGCATGCGTTTCCTTAGAGTGTTCAAAATGTGATTTGAATTCCATATGTTTGATTATCAAATAGCCTTTCAGGAGTATAGAAAACGAGCTGTGTTTGGATGCCTTACCCAGACGGCCCAGGCAGCTGTCTTTTCCATTAATTCTTCCTCTTAATTGAGTTTAGCTGCTTGGCTACATTTGCTGTAGTATAGCTCTAGGTTATAGTGTTTTTTTCCAGCATGTTTTAGGGGATTCCGCTTTATAGTTAAACTCAGAGACTCTGCTTTAGGACAACTGTTTTTTGTTTGTTTTTAAGGAAGCTTATTATTTGTGAATGATTTTAGATTTACAGAAAAGTTGCAAAGGCAAAAGAGAGTTCTCAGCTACCCTGTACCCAGATTTTACTGTTGTTGATATCTTGTATTACTGCAGTACATTGGTCAAAACTCAGAAACTGACATCAGTACATTACTATTAACCAAACTTCAAATTTTATTTCAATTTTGCCAACTGCCTTTTGAAACCGTTGGAGGTGAACTTGATGCAGGGGGAAGGTCGGGTATTTAAAAGTTTCAGAAATGGTCTATGTGCTTTGATATATGCACAGTTCGGTTCATGTAAAGTCAGCAGCTTCTATTTTAGGGAGGATTTTGATGTATTTTTGTTTTGAACATTTCTGTATGGGGCCAATGTTTGGTAGAGCTTAACTCATCTTATCCCTGTGGCCTCATTTTTATCAATTATTTCTGTTAGTTTGAACTTAGCTAGTGATAGGAAAGAATTGTTTTCTGGTGTAAGAATAACTTGGAATCTCTCAAATATTCTCTTTAAAAGAAATAATCATTTATCAAAAATAAAAATTAAGCTCAACTTTATAATGATGTACTCTGCCCTTCTTTCCTCTCCTCTTGTTCATTTGTTAGTTTTTATCAAGTTTTTAAACTATAAATATCTGCTTTTAGAAAAGACTGATTTTGTTTTTTGTCTTTAAGTATTTACTTAAGGACCAGCTATCAGGGAGCAATAAATGAAAGTGGAAATGAAAGAGACTTGGCCCAGAGTGATAGTAGATATAAATGGCCCTTGTGGGCCATAAACCAGTGTGACCAATTAGAGGTTGACCTCACTTGGCTTGTGTGATAGAATCTTTGTGGGTATTTACAAGATTTGTAGCCATGGCATACAGATAATGGCCTTTCTTAGAACTGATTCCTTTCCTCTCTTCCCTTTTAAAACTAAAGTAAAATAAACAAATAGCAAATATATGTATGTAATTTCCCTGCTGGTCTAAAGATACATTCCAAGTTCAGGACAACAGATTAAGTTTGTATTTATATTTGTTCTGTATTTTTGCAGTCATCATATAGTAATTGATGAAGAAGTTTAGCTTTTCAAATATTTCTGATAAAAAGTTTCAGCTGTATTTTCTCAGTTGTTTTGATGAGATCCCTTTTTTTTTTCTTTAACATTGTGAGTTTCCTGGCTCACGAGGCAGCCGGCAGCCTGGTATCACCGGGAAGTATGTTTGCATTTCCATACAAAGCCCTAGGAATTAAAATGGCAGCGCTGCTGTCCTTGGCATGTGTGTTCCTTGTTCAGCTCGGAACTGAGATTTCCATGGGAAGGTCACCTTGCTTAGGAATTTATTCTCTATTTGGAGATTGAGAATGAACCGAGTTGAAAGAAATTAAAACAGAAACAAAAACAAAACCAAAAAGTCCCTAGAACAGAAATGGGTGAGCATGGAAGAGGACAGATTGATTGAACATAGCTGCAGTCCCAACTGCCTTCACTTTCGCGTGGCATGGAAATAGCGGAGGTGGTGGCAGGCGTTCCGCAGTTCACTGGGAGAAAGGAGGAGGCACAGAGACCTCTAGCCAGCATCAGCCAGGCCACGAGGGTACCATCCACACGGTGAGGGGCAGGCAGTGGAGATTCCCAGAGAATGTCTTTCCAGAGTGCCGGGACCTTGCAGACTGCAGCACCCCATCCAGCTAGGGTGCTCATGGAGAAGGACAGGTGTTATCAGATCTTTAGATGTCAGCAGGACCCCAGCTACCAAGCCAAAGCCTTCCCATCTGTTAATCCCTGGCAACTTGGCTAGTAACTGAGAAAGGGAGGAAAGGCTTTTCTAAACTTCAAACACTAAATTGATCATTTCAGTCCCACATAAGACTGAACTCATTAGCTCTGTTCAGTTTTGGGTTATGGTCAAAGCATAAAACATAACCTTTGGCTTCAAAATGAAATTTAGAAAATAATAGTGTTTATCTTTCTAACATACTGATGGGCACAGCTTGTGACAATGAAACTCATTTCACTTTAGTTTTGTTTTTTGTTGTTCTTTTAAAATTTATTCACTAAGAGAAATCTCTTCTGATGACTGGAACAATGGCACATGACCCCTTGTTGCACATTGAAATCAAATGGGAATAATATTTTATTTTATTTTATTTCATTTTTGATACACATTCCTGGGGCCCACCTCCCGCAATTCCGATTAAGCGGCTCTCGGACAAGGCTTGGACTTCAGCATTTTGTATTTTTAAGATCCCCAGTGACTCCAAAGGTCAACGAAGGGTGAGAGTTGCTGGTCTGAATTAGAGCTCAGACCTGAGTAAGATTTTCCCACTCATTGTTGAGTAACAGACAATCCTTTGGCCATTTTAGGTTGCAGACAAAATCTCAGTTGAGAAATAGCATGTCCTGTTTCAGTTAGAAATCAAAACTCTAGACTAAGATTTAAGGGCCAGTCTCCTGTCTTCCTCCAGTCCAGGTGGGCTGCCTGGGCTGGGAGCTGGCGCTTGCTAGTGAGGTTTCAGCCCCTGTGCTGCCCAGGGGGAATGGAAGTGTGCTTGCTGGTGGCTTTGTGTCTTGGGACCTGCGTATGTTTAGAACTGTTTCATGGACCTTTTTCCTAGATCCCTTTACAGGTTCTTTGGAGGTTCTGCTCTCTGCAGTCCCCTCTTCTGTAGTTCCCACAACAGAAGCAAACACATCTTTATTCCAGCTGGTGGAAGCAACTCCTTCCTCAGCCCCTGGAACGCAGCTTTGTGCTATTGGGGTCCCTCTGCTCCTCCAGGGGGTCCTGTTATCAGGACCTAAGACTCCCCACACTGACTTTCTCCCACGCTGCCTCCCTCTGTTCTTCAAGGAGCCCTCATGATCCCTTGTCTTGATACCTCTGGGTATACAAGTCTAACCTAAATGTCACCTGCATTTTACCACTGCTTTAGCCTTTTCTGGCAGGTGTCAGGCACTTGTCCTCTGAGTCTTCTGTCTGCAGGAAACAAGTTTCGATTTCTCAGAAAGGTGCCGTGGAAACCCCATGGTGGGGTGGTGGCAAGGCCAATATTTCTCCCCAAAGAAAATCCTTTCTAAGTCCTTCCTCGTTCTCTCTGCTTGGGGCCTTTTAAAGTCCAGTGTGCACATGGATCCTGCTCTCAGCCATTTCTTTTGTGAATTCTGCAGGGTGATTCTCTCGCCAGTAGGCACTGAGAGAATGATATGAAGGAACCCATTCCTCCCCTCCTTTGTGTTTATACTCTGTGGCCACCAGGGTGAAACTTTCTGCCCAGAACTGTTTCTCTCTCAGCTCTGGCCTTGCCCTCCCCCATCCAGGTGGGTGGGCTTGCCCAGGGAGGAGGGCTTCAGGACTCTGCCACTCGACTATGTGAATTTTCTAGACTTGAAGCCCTAAGGTGAAAACTAAGTCAAAATTTGGTTCCTAGAGAGGGTAGGGAAATTTAAGCCCTCTCTGGTGTCTAAGCGCTTTCCCTCTCTCCTACCATTTGGAATGAGGTCACTGGGAACAGAAAACATCTGCCACCCA